ACAACACACAACCAAGCTAACTTATGTTAAAAAATATTCATAGTTGCTGAAGTGTTGTATTTTCCTCTCCATGCATGTTTGCCTATAGTTCAAAATGAAGAGAAAGAAGGACATTACATCTTATTTCTGCACAAGAAAGACAAATAACAGTGAGGCAGACATTGAGACAGAGACAGATGATGGAGGTGTTGAGAGAGCTGAAGAAAAGCAAGTTGAGAGCCCCACAGAGCCAGAGGACTTGGAAGGCACTGGTTTTCAACGAGAGGGCACAGGGACAGAAAGAGAGACAGATGAAGATCCTGAAATTGAGACAGCTGAGACTGAGATACAAGCAGCATGTGAGACACAGAGAGAATATTTGTGTATCCACAAGCACTGGACCATCAGGTTTGTGATGTATGTGTGTGTGTGCGTGTGTGTGTGCACGCTTTGCAGTTTATATGCAGTGTCCATGCAGATTATATGTTAATTTACATTTATTCTGTTTGGCTTTCTCCACAGACATCAGCAAATGTAAAGAAGATCCAGCGATGCAGCCAGACCTAAAGTTGTTTCCAAGAACCTTGATGGGGGACAGAAGGAGGAGCTTCAAAGCAGCTTGGTATCACATTCACCCCTGGCTTGAATATTCACAACACTTGGACTCTGCGTATTGTTACGCTTGCAGACATTTTAGCCCTCCCAACAGCCCAGACACTGTGTTTGATTCCCCAGTTGGTTTTAAAAACTGGAAGAATGCATCTTACAAAGAGGCGGGGTTTGCATTGCATGCGAGGTCTGAGCGCCATAAACAAGCCATGGTTACATGGAGGGACTATCAGAAAGCTGCAGCAGCTAATGCAACACTGGTCAATGTCTTAAACAAGGAGCACAACAGACAGGTTAAAGAAAATCGTGAATATATAAAAACAATAGGGGAAGTGCTCTTACTTACTGCCACTCAAAATTTAGCTCAAAGAGGGCATAATGAGTCTGCAGACTCAGACAATAAAGGGAACTTCAAGGCAATTTTGGAAACAATTGCTAACCACGACAAAGCTATTAAAAAACGGTTGACTTCCATTCATAATGCAAAGTATACAAGCAAAATCATTCAGAATGAGGTTCTGGATTGTTTAGCAGACATGGTTCGAACTGAAATTACAGAAGAAGTGAAAAACAGTGAGGTTTTCAGCATCATAGCAGACGAAACAAAAGATGTAAAGAAAAAGGAACAGATCTCTCTTGTACTAAGGTACTACTACAATGGAGCTATCCAGGAAAGTTTTCTACATTTTGAGTCTGCAGAGAAGCTTGATGCAGCAGGGCTTAGTGAGAAAATAATCCACATACTGGAAAAACATTGTCTGGAGTACAAAACAAATCTTGTAGGCCAAGCTTATGATGGTGCCTCTGTTATGAGCGGTAAGCATTCTGGGGTACATGTGAGGATCAAAGAGGATGCAAAATACGCTTTTTACATCCATTGCACTGCCCACTGTCTAAATCTAGTTTTAGTAGATACAGTCAAAGCTGTCCCAGAGGTAGAGGAGTTTTTCTACTTACTAGAAAAACTGTATGTGTTCACATCTGGATCAGCTGTCCATCCTAAATGGCTAGCTATACAAAGAGAGATGTACGAAGGTGCACCAAGAGAGCTCCAGCGTTTAAGTGACACTCGTTGGGCATGTCGATTTATAGCTCTGCGTAACATCATGGATAGACTGCCTGCAACAAGGGCAGGGCAGCCCTTAAGCGACTACTGCAAGAAATTGCCCGAGAACATAATGGTGAAAGATCTGTTCAGGCAAGAGGTCTGCTGGCACAGATAAATCTTGAATTTATAGTGCATCTTGTTACACTCCGTAAAGTGTTTGGAGAAACAAAACTTCTGTCTGATATGCTACAGTCTTCAACACTTGACATTTCAAAAGCTGTGGATTTAGTTGAAGCTTTAGTTCAGACATTGAGAGATTTCAGGCAGGAGTCATTTTTTGATCATGTGTGGGATGAAGTGTTGAATATTTTTGGGCAGTGTGATTCAACACCACCAGCTGCAAAACGCCAAAAAACACTAAGCTCTAAACTCAGCGAGCACTGTGTACTGACCACTGTTGGGCAGAGAGAGTCAGAACAAGATAAAGACAGGTTTCGTACAAACTTTTTCTACCCTGTCATTGATCTAATGCTCAGTGAGCTTGAAAGACGATTTTCTAGGAGAAACTGTGATATGATGAACAGCATCCATGCTCTAAATCCCCAAAAAGATGCATTCCTGAAAGAGACTGCTCTGTTTTCATTTGCTCAGTTATATGATTCAAGTATTGATGACCTGGGGCATGAACTACATCAGTTCAGAAGGATTTTAGACAGAAAAATTCAGACTGGGATGCAGAGACCCACTAGTACAGTAGAGCTAGTACAGTTCATCGAGCCATATAAAGAAGTGTTTTTAGAGCTCTACAGACTCTGTAAAATAGCAGTTGCGATCCCAGTGAGTACTGCATCTTGTGAACGGAGTTTTTCTACCTTAAAGCTTGTGAAAACATACCTCAGATCCACCATGAACGATGAGAGACTAAGCAATCTGGGTGTACTGAGCATTGAGTCGAGGAGGGCAAAGGCATTGAATCTTGACTCATTTGTTGATCGGTTTGCCAGAAATCATCAAAATCGCAGAATACAGTTGCTGTGATAGTAGGGCAGCCAATGTTGTTATATAATTTTGGACTGAGAAACTGAACCAAGACTTCACTTAACAGTTATTTTCATTATCATTTTATTTGCTTATTAATATATTTTCTTCAGTCAATACAAATACTGTCTGGAAAATGTTTTATATTTTTCTCATTTGATTTTTTTTAACCATTTTCTTTGGTTGCAATGGTTAATCACTGCTTTAAAAAAACAAAAGAGTCAAGTAAGATTTCGAATCTGTCTTTTTCTCTGAGATGAACGTGCCCCTCTGACAAAACCTCTGGCCCCAGCTAGGCCCCACCAGTACAACTGGTCTAAAACCGCCACTGCCCCTTAGAGATCCAGGGCCCCTGGGCAGTTGCCCATATGGTTAATCCGGCCTTGGCTGGACCTGGACTTCAGAGCAGCAGAGAAGTTGCAAACAGCGCAAGAGCAAACGGGCTGTGTGTGTGTGTGTGTGGTTGTGTTGGTGGGTCCAGTGGAACGCGCTCACAAGAGAAGAACCTCACAAGTTGTTTAATGACATAAAATATATTTTGTTAGCAAATAATAAGAGTCCTAACATTTATTAAACATTACTTCTGTATTAAAAAACATCAAAATTGTGCTTTGACAAAACAAAAAATAAACAAAAAAAAAGCGTTAAAGTGAAAGTGGGACAGGTTAACGCTGCTGCGGGTGACAAGCGTCACCAGCTGCTCAGCAGCAGAGGGAAGCGACACGGTTCAATCATGGCTCCTCAAACGACAAGACAGACATATTTGTTCATAACTTTATTATTATTAAAACTGAGAGTTGCCGCATTTTAGCAAACAGTTGCCGAACGCACCCTGACAAAATGAGAATGGTGCAACCCCCCCCCCCCCCCAAAAAAAAACCCTCCCTGCCACAAAATGTTCCTCGGGGTCACATGCCCCCCACCCCCCACCCCCCATTGCTTGGGGCGCGCCCCACTATTTGAGAAGGACTGATTTAAGGTAATAATTATTACATTATACACATGATATTAAAAACATTTAAAATTAAAATTCCCACTTTCTCCTCTGGTTCTCGCTCAAGACGGACGCCTCTGCTCTCCCTCCCCTCTGTTCTCCTCTTCCTCCTGCTTTTGCCCTCTGTGTGCGTTTTGGAGCTCCTGGTACACATATTCCAAATGAAAAAAAAAAAAATTACTATTATGGATCTGGTCAGGTGGACTTTCAACGCAATCGACAAAATCTTTTCAACAAAACGACAGGGTCCTGGAGAACCCTCTTGTCCAGCCGAGACTCACGCTACAGGATACATCAGACATCCGTGGGGAGTTTGGCAACTGATGTGTCTTTCAGTTCTCTCTCAGGAAGATGCTGAAGACGTTCATATATTTGGATTTATGATAGCAGAGTTTCTGCTTTTTGGCATCGGCGGGGCTCTATGTTATCAACTTTTGAAGAAGATATTGGCAGCAGTTTCGGCCATGGCAAAGCTTCTGAGTTAGTGCGAAGGTTTGGTTTGGGCTGTGAGTACTCAAAATCAGCAGATTTACGAGCTAAACTGTAAGATGGAGGCCATTTATGAGAATTGCAGGCAACCTACAGTTTCTAGGACTTGCCAGCATGTTGGGATCAACCTTGAAGAAGGCTCATAACACGGATCAGTGGAGTGGAATACCCATAAATCTGGCCATTTTGGATCGGAAAAGTTTCAGCAGGACTCAAGGCTGACAAGAAAAACAGTCTGTCTGAAGGAAATTAACAATTGTGGCTTATCTGAATCTGACTCCCCCGGTTGGCCTTGAAAACAGACCGACTTATCAAATTTCTCCTGGGATATGGGTAAATTAGGGGAAAAGCTTTGTCTATCGCAACACCCCCCACAAGAACTTCTGTGCAGGCTTATCAGAACTGCCGGCTGAACATCATCAGGACTGTGGCCTATCTGAAAGTGCTTCATGGACAAATATCAACATCTTGACATCAGATACATATGTAATGTGTTTATAAATGTGCTTGCTGGTAGAGTTTTTTGATGTCTTAAATCGTGTCCTGATAAGACAAGATGCAAAGAGATCTTTTTTGTAATACCACTATCCATCCTCATGGCTTTTTACCTTTGTTCTATCTAAAAGTATTCTGATAAAGAATACTTTTAGATACAACAAAGGTAAAAAAGTGCGCTATCATAGCAGCGATAACGTGCACTCCGCCCATCTTTCGGACAACTGTACAAACATACTTTCACTGTACCCCAGTACAAAGATAATAAAGCTTATTCTGATTCTGATTCGTAAAGGTCATAAAACATCCCGTACTTGTGTCTTCATTTAATGTACTGCATTATTTAGGCAGGGCTTCAGGGTCAACACTTGGGACAAATAAATACAATTACAGGTAAGTTTTGGTGAAATATATACAAAGAAAACATGACACACCATGACTGAAAATATTTAACTACGACTAGAATCAGAATCAGAAGATAACTTGTGCAGCATCTGAGATTCCTGATGAGAAATTTTGTACAGTTTGCCGTCCTCCTGAGCCAACCAGTTTCCATTCTCAGTTATTCCGTGGTCCTCTGAGGGAAGCATCTCTTCAGCATCAATTTCCTCGGGGACGCCAATAATTGAGTGAAAAGGTTCTGGTCCCACTTCTTCAACAAGGCTCTGTGAAAACAGACAGATAGACCAAGACAAACGATTACATTTCAGTTCTGTTGGAATGAAAACTATTCCATGGTGCTTGAAAGTTTGTGAACTCTTTACAATTTTTTTATATTTCTGCATAAATATGACCTAAAACATCAGCAGAATTTCACACAAGTCCTCATAGTAGATAAAGAGAACCCAATTAAACAAATGAGACAAAAACGTTTTACTTGGTCATTTATTTATTGAGGAAAATGATCCAATATTAAATATTTGCGAGTGGAAAAAGTATATGAACCTTTGCATTCAGTATCTGGTGTGACCCCCCACCCCACTGTGCAGCAACACCTGCAACTAAATGTTTCTGGTAACTGTTGCTCAGTCCTGCACAGTGCTTAATTTGAGCCGGATCCTGCCGGAACAAGATCCGGGAACTGTCTCATTTGACCGCATGTGATCTAGTAAAAGTTTGCTCAGATCCGGCAACTCAAATATCTGCCCCTAAAAGTCCAAAGTCATCGCGCATTTTTATTTAGATTATTTATTAAAAATACAACGAGAGGAGATGTTCTGTGGAGCAGATGTTCTAGCCGCAATACGTGCACCAGCTCGCGCACACACTCCTGCCCAGCAGAGACGTGGACTGCATGTCCCATGGGGATGAGCGTCTTCATCCACCTTCAGCTGTGCACCCTGCAGACTGTGCATATTTTACGCACAGGAGCGTCTCCAGATAGTTCTGCAGAGTGCACGCACAACTGCTGATGTGTTGGAACTCCTGTATATATTTGAGATAATAAATAAAAAAGCTTACAGCAAAAAAAAAATATAAATAAATAAATATATATATATATATATATATATATATATATATACACACAGTATATATATATACAACGAGAGAAATGTTTTATGTGTATTATTCACATTACATCACAATTAAAAACAACAGCATTAATTTGTCAAAACAACAGTGATCAAAATGTTAAAAAGACAATTTATTATCTAAAATAAATGGATGGATTGTTCTTAGCTGGACAACTGAGAACTGAAGCACCTGAAGGCAGTGATAATAGAGATTGGAGCAGAACAACGCGCAGGACTGAATTAATCTGAGAAGAGTTCGGGTCAGATATTGAAGTTTGTGTGTGTGTGTGTGTGTGTGGTGGTGGTGGTGGTGGGGGGGGGGGGGGGGGGGAGGGTGTTAGGACTAGGGCTGCAACTAACAATTATTTCAATAATCGATTCATCGGCCGATTATTTTTTCGATTAATCGATGAATCGGCAAAAAAACCCAATGTTTTAATTTCCACCCCTTTATTCCAAAATTGAACATTTGACTGACATAGCAATTCACACAAAAAACAGGTTGCTATTTGACTATTCTTTTAGTAAAATATTGAATAATAAAAAATAAAAGTTAGTCAAATAGCTTAAAAAAATAAATGTACACAAAAATATCTACAAATGTATCTTTATACCTGCACAATATTTAGCTACTTTGTAAAATGTGTCCTTGAGGGAAGAGTGTAACCTGGATTAAAAGTGTGGATTATTGTAACCTGGATTAAAAGTGTGGATTATTGTAGTGAAGCCTTCATCTTCAACCATCGACAGAGGCCTCATGTCAGTGACGATCATGTTCAGGATGTTTCAGTGAAGACAGCTGCTGCTGTGGTGTCCATGATGTCTGTCCATCATGAAGGCTGTTGTTGTTTGTTGTTGTTTTCTGGAATGAGACAATAAATATGTTTTATAGCATAATTTACAGCAACTCAAGAAATGCCTTGTTTCACTTACAGTGTTAGGTTCAGGCAAAAGTAGCTAAAAGAGCAATTAAACACACACACACACAGACACACACACGCACGCACGCACGCACACACACACATATAAAATACTTAATTACACACATTTGAGTAGATGTAATAAATTACTTTAATTCCTGTTTAAATGCAATTCATCCTGCCATACCTGCAGTATCTTCAGACTTTGCCAGAAAATTAAAAGTTGAAGCTTAATCATTAAATTATTATCTTTGTGTTAGATTTATTTATTAACCACATTTAAACACTGCTTGTACCAATTAAATTGAATAAAAAGTAACACACGCGTTCTCTATCACCGTCATTAATCAACAAACAAACAAACAAACAAGCAGCTTCAGCTCCAGAGAGACTGACGTTACGTTTTCTCTCTTGGAAACAGAACAATGTGTTAAATTCTAGAGACTCACCTGCAACACGTGACGAGTTGGGAGTGAAACGTTGTATCAGCTGCAGCTCCTTCCTCCTCCTCGTGACTCCGACATGTTTACGTTTATCTCCGTGGTTCTCTCGTGTCGTGTCGGTGATTTTCAAAGCTGCATGCTTCTCATTTTTTATATTTGTGAAGTTCTCCCACACTTTGGAGGACTTGGGTCGAACAGTTTTTGCTGCGTTGGTCATTTGTAAAATTTACTTAATTTCCTTTGAAAACACCGCCTCTGCTTTGCTCCCCCCTCGCTCTGTTCAACTCGCGCTGCAGTTTTTTTTTTTAAACTTTATTCAGTCAGTCAGCATTGACAATGAACTGCCCGTGAACAAAACAAAACGACTCTGCAGCGCCGTGAAAGACGCATAATCGCGCGACACAACGAATGGATAACGAAATTCATTGCCAACGCTTTTAATCATCGATTTTTATCGATTTTATCGATTCGTTGTTGCAGCCCTAGTTAGGATGCTTGACAGAATCTGAGCTGTTCTATTCACTGCTCTCTAAAATAGTAATTTCAATTCAACCTTTGTTTATACAGGTTGTTAGTCTCATTGAACCTCGAGGACTCATTTACAAGAGAGACCTGTTTTTAATCAATTTTATCAAATATTTACAGATGTTTAAAAACCCATTAAAATACACCAAAATGCAGGAAATGGCATCTATAATTCCAAATTTTCTGGGGGAGGAACACTTGGACCTACATCTGGACCTGCCATTCTGTGTTCGTTTGTTTCTCCTTCCTGTCCTCTCAAACCAGTCGGTCAAAGCAGACGGTCGCTGAGCCTGGTTCTGTTGGAGGTTTCTTTCTGTTTAAAGGGAGTTTTTCCTTTCCACTGTCTCCTTTGTGCTTGCTCAGGATGAGAGACTGTGACAAAGTGAAGATTCAACGAGTCTGCTGATTTCCTTAGATAGAGAACTTTACTAATTGGCTTTTCTATGTATGTGAATGTTCCTATAAAGTGCCCTGAGACAACTTTGTTGTGATATGGTGCTATATAAATAAACTGAATTGAATTTAAATTGGTCATGTCTTAACAATACAACAAATTAGGAGAAACTCACCTTTCCATGTATCTTTCCTCCTCTGTATCTTGATTTATCTGAGAGAAAGACGGGAAAAAATCCCACATTGAATATATTGATGCGTTACTGATTCTTCTCAACATGTTGTGAACATTTTGAGCACAACATACTTAAGTACTTGTACACCAGTATTCCAAGAGTACTAGTGACCAGAACAAGGGCCACGACCACACCGGCAATTATTACATGAGTCCGGCTGTTTGCCTCTGTAAGACGAGAGAGAACAAACACACATCTTTAACAGATCACTCATCGTTCACAGACCTCCCATTCACTAATGACTGCCTTAAACTAAACAGATAAAATGGGAAAGTAGAAAAATGCCCAACCAAAGAACAAGAACAAATAACAAGTTTTTGATTTGTTCAAACAATCCACACAGACATGAGCTCAGATCACACCTAAAGCCACAAACCAAGAGGTAGTTTCATTATGAACAACACGCCCACAACACCCAACCACATCCAGCTGCAGACAGAGAAACGTATGAGAAACCTTTGTCATCTGTTTACCCACACAGAACTTACCACAAACCATGTCGGCTCTGTCCGTCCCATTTTGGACAACGTGGAACCCCTCCTTACATCTGTAAAGATCATCACAACATCGAAGGATTAATTCCTGTGATGTGAATCAGTCAGGCTTCAGAACACCAAGAGGTATTCAACCATTGGATCAGGTGCGTTGGAGCAGAGAGACAAGTACAGCATGCAGGATTATGGTCCTCGAGGACCAGGACTGTACACCCCTTGCTTAGAAACAACTAGGCCTGTCACGATAAACAATAAATTAATTAAACATTTTTCAGTCATGTCATCTGGACAGTAGGAATGTGCGATATGGCATAAAATTCATATCACGATATGTATTGTGAAGGGTGGCGATAACAATATATATCGCGATATGTTTTGGGTATAAAACTTGATAGGAATTTTTCAAAAAGCATAGGGTGTCCTTTTGCCATCATATATTTTGAATTAAGAAAATTCCACTACTAGGTCCAGAGTTTTTAAATAATACACAAATCAAGTATTAGGCTTCTTGCTTGTAGTGCAAAACAGTGCAAAATATATAAAATGTAGTTTTAGCCATATGTTTTAAACAGTTTCCAGTCTTAAGAAATGAACAGCAACAGAGCCGCATTTTACACTGAAACACTTCACTCCAAACCTCTATTTGGCGCCTCCATCTGCTTTAATGGAGAGTTGACACAAAATGAGTCTTTGGCTTTGACCAGAGGGTCTCGCAGTAAAATCACACAACACAGCGTTACTTTCACAGATCAGAGAGCAGGTTTCTCTAAAGCTGACCATCGCTTACTTTAACTTTCGATGGAAAAAAAAACAACAAAACTTTCGACGGAACACAGCGTTTTGTGCATGCGTTAGAATACGGCAACACTACGGCAAGCCGGCTGTAGTTAGCTTGTAGCTTCGCTACTTAGCTCTCAAAGAAAAGACTTTAACGCCACTTGCGCACAGTTTTCAGCTCAAAAAAAGTAATGATTAAATCTGACAGCTCTGATTTTACACTTGAACAATACTTATGCGCAGTTTTCAACAACAAAAAAGTAACGATTAAACTGACAACTCTGATTTTACTTCAGACACAGCATTACTACGGTTAGCCGGTAGAAGATAGAGCTCTATCGTAGGCTAAATTTCTATCGTTTCTACCGTGTACCGTTTATATCGCGCATTCCTACAGGACAGTTTCTTTTTTTGTGCTGCAACGTTTCGCCTTCGATCCGGAAGGCTTCATCAGTCAAGGAAACACACAACAAAACTGATTCTTCTTCCGGATCGAAGGCAAAACATTTCAGCACAAAAAAAGAAACTGTCCAGATGACCTGACTGAAAAATGTTGGATTTTATACCTGGATTATTGAGCATGGACTTTGTTGTTTTCAACCAGTTTGACAAGACTGTCAACAAGGAAGAGGGCCGGCAATGGAGGAGGGGCATACCAAAGAGAACATCTAATCACAAGCATAACTGGTTTGTTCCACTTTGGAGTAAGCTGTTGGAAAAATAATCAGTTTTGTTGTGCGTTTCCTTGACTGATGAAAAGGCAAAATGTTTCAGCGCAAAAAAAGAAACTGTCCAGATGACCTGACTGAAAAATGTTGGATTTTATACCTGGCTTATTGAGCATGGACTTTGTTGTTTTCAACCAGTTTGACAAGACTGTCAACAAGGAAGAGGGCCGGCAATGGAGGAGGGGTGTACCAAAGAGACCATCTAATCACAAGCAGAACTAGTTTGTTCCAGTCTCTTTAGAATGATTTTTTCAATTAGCTTTGTAGAGATCTAGTAGAGTGCTGTATGAATGGGTAAATGAGGACACAGATTGTAGTGGAAAGCGCTTTGAGTATCTTGAAATAGGATAGAAAGGCACTATATAAGTAAAGTCCATTTACCATTTTCACTTTGGAGTAAGATGTTGGAAGAAGAATCAGTTTTATTTCGTACAGGCGTAGCCCTTTAAGCGCTGTCGCTGGTGGGTTTTATCCCGTCATGCAACGCATCGCACTGAAAAGTTTAGTCCATGCCCACCTGTTGTGTGGACCCCACCCGGACCATATAAATTACGTTAAGAGCGGGTAATCGGCTCCCAAATAGCTTTTTCTTCAGCCATTTAGGAGCCAGTGAGGCCCGACGCTTAAAGGGCTACGCCTATACTCATAGAATCTGGGGTTACAGTATGTAACCAACGTTCTATTTCGTATAGGCTTCGCCCTTTAAGAGCTGTCGCGGGTGGGTTAAGGGCGAAGAAGATGTAGTCCTCGCCTCACTGGGTCCATTCGAACACCATATGAAGCGCCAGCTTGCCCAAAAAATATCTTGTCACTCAGCTCTCCATATGCGTAATTGCGCGTTGCGTAATTACGCGCACCATGCACAGATGCGTGCTACGTAGTTATGCGTTCTGAGTGCATGAACACCCCGGAAAAGTTTTCAACGGAGAAAAGGAAGAGGCTGAAAAAGGCCGTGAACCAAGCAGATCCACAGTTGATCAATATGAACAGATTAATAATAACAAATGAACTGATTGGTAACAATAGTCATGAACTGATTAGTGACAATAGAACAAGAACAACAGTCACAACTTGTGACTGATAACAACATCTCACACTGTAAATGCATGCAGTCAGATGTGAGTTTGAACAAGATTCCATGAAACAACAATATTCATTTTGTTAAAGCACTAAGGACAGAATGCGTCATGGAATGAGTCGACACATCATGTAAATAAAAGCAAATAAATGAGCAGGGTGTTGACCACGTGGCCGCAGTGCAAATATCCTGCATTGTCATACCATTATGTAAAGCAGTCGAAGATGCAATACCACTGGTCGAGTGCGCCCTGAGGTTATCAGGAGGCTCTAAATCTGATGCTCTATAGGCTTCAGAAATGGCCTCACACAGCCAGTGTGACAGGCACTGGGTGGATAACGGGCGACCTGCAGATGCATCTCTATAATGCACAAACAAATATAGAGTCTGACGCATTGCGGCCGTGCGTGCTATGTAGCACGTCAATGCATGCACAGGACAGAGAAGATGGAAAGATGCTTCTTCTTCTGATTTGTGGGGTGAGGGAAAAAACCCTCCAACGATACCACTCTTGATTTAAAAGAGCTCGTGATGTTTTAAGGCATAAACGCTGGGTTAGGTCTCAGATCAGCTGAGCTGCCATCAGCCTGAATTCTGAGACATGACGGAGCGACAGAGAGGGCAGATAAATCACTCACCCTCTTAACGGATGTTAAAGCTCGCAGCAGGGCTGTTTAAAGAGACAAGAATTTAATTGGAACCTGATTCAGTGGCTCAAATGGAGCTTTGATCAGGGCTCGCAGAACCAGCATTAAATCCCACTGTGGAGCAAGTGGGCATGAAACAGGCTTGCGTCTCTGTACACCTTTTAAAAAACGCTTCATCAGCGGATGATTAAAAGCTGTTCTGTCCCCGAAACCTTTGTGACAGGACGAGAAGGCTGCAGCATACGATTTAATCGTGCTGAATGCCAGATTTCTGTCCATCAGCTGCTGCAGAAAGGACAGCACGCCACCTAGTGGACATGAAGGTGGCCTCTAGACCTTTCTCTGTACACCAGCACTGAAAAGCTGTCCACTTTGATGTGTACAGCGCTATGGTGGATGCAGCACGTGAATCCTGGATCGTACGCACTACATCTTGAGAGAGACCCATCCTCTCTAAGCGGATCCGCTCAGCGGCCAGACCCAAAGGTGCTGGCCTATTTCTGGGTAACTCCTGATCGCTCCTCCCGCCTGGAGGAGAGCGTCCTCCTGTGAGCAAACGCGTCCACCCCTAGCGGTGGTTCGTCTCGTGGGCTCAATGAAAACCATAGTTGACACTGAGCGTTCTTTCGTTTTGCAAACAGGTCCACGGCTGCTTTGCCAAATTTCTGCCACGTCTGAGCCATCAGCTCTGGATGGGAGGTCCAGTCCCATGCAAGAAAACATTAAAATAGAAATGTTTAATTTTCACTCAAAGATTTCTTAATTATTTACTTATTTTTATAATTATTATTTACTGATAATTTACCAACACAGTTAATTCATGATTTGAAAATAGCTTAATGAAACATTTCAGTAAGGGGGATATTATGCTATGACTGATCCAACAACATGAAGAAAACCCTGCCCTCTCATTTGACTATAACAAGATTAAATAAAAAGAGCTTAAAATGAAAGACAGGATTCAAAACTAATAATCCATGAAATATGTCAAGTACATTTACACAATGTCATAAAATGAATCTATTATTAAAAAAAAATGAGAAATAAGTCTTGAAATGAATTAAAACTACATGTTGGATAATAAACTAAACATTTATATTTTAATGTTTTTTTTTCATAGGAACATTTACTTATTTTGAAGGAATATTTATTAATAATTTCTAAGCAATATTTATTTTGAAATGAAATGGCTTTCCATAATGAACAACCCTTTGTTAAAATGAACTGTCTTGTAAATAATTTTCCCAGACTCAATGTGATTAACCTATCAAAGTTGAAATTGAATGAATAAAACAGAGAACAAGCTAAGAAGTAATCAAATTTCACCTTTTGAAATTTCTATGCTGTCTTGATGTAAATTTTGCTTTACCTAGTCAGCAAAAAAGCAAAAGGCAATGGTATTGGTACTCCCACTTGTGGGACAGGGTTCAAATCCCTGTGATGCCTTGCTGATTGTGCTGACAAGAGAAAATTGTCCAAATATAAACCTTAATATAAAATGGTTTTCTTCCTATCAAGAAAAAAGGTAAAGAAAATCTAAAGAAATGCATGAGACTTTTCAGCAGTTTACGCATTCACCATACCTTCTACATCACCTGCAACTGTTGATGCTCAAGCTATGCCTTCCAGTTGCCATCGTGAATACTCTCATGCCATTCTCGCACGCGTCCACCAGGATACGCATATACCAAAACTTTGCAATCACCTACCGCCCATATCAGTATGAGTCCGGCTGCAAGTCTTACAAGTTTGGCTGAAGTCCAACCTTCCAGACAGGAGTAATTGACACTTGTTGTTTTGTCATGAATGTAAAGGACTTCCTTTAAACAGTTCAACATGTCATATGTTGTAAATAAGAGTTAAAGAATACAGTTCTAGTCTTGTATCTTACACAATGCCAAGCTAGAAGAGTGAAAAATCTGGTCCAGATCAGATGATGTATCACTGAAATATAACAGTTTGAATAATGTAGGAAGCGCACTTGAGTCATATGTTAAACCACAATAGTAATGTGTGTATAAGTGCTCACTAATGACGCACTAAAAATCTGGTACAGATCAGATGATATATGACTGAGATATAACAGGTTGAATAATGTAGGGGGCGCACTTCAGTCAAATATTAAACAATACCAATGTGTCTGGAAATGCTCAATAATGACACACCCAAAATCTGGAGCAAATCGTATGACATATCACTGAGATAGAACATTTTCAAAAATCTAGGGGGCACACTTGAGTCAAATATTAAAGAACAAAAGCAATGTGTCCATCAGTGCTCAATAATGACGTACCATAAATTTTGTACAGATCAGATGATACATAACTAAGATATAACTGATTAAATATTCTAGGGGCACACTTGAGTCAAATATTAAACAACAACACCACTGTGTCCATAAGTGCTCACTAGTCAAGCACCAAAAATCTGGTGCAGATCGGATGATATATCACTGAGATATAACAGTTTGAATTATCTAGGGGGCGCACTTGAGTCAAAAGTAAAACAACAATACCATTGTGTGTTTAAGTGCTCACTAATCACACACCAAAAATCTGGTCCAGATCAAATAAATTTTCACTGAGATATAACTGTTTGAATAATGTAGGGGGTGCACTTGAGTCAAATATTAAACAACAACACCACTGTGTCCCTAAGTGCTCACTAATCAAGCACCAAAAATCTCATAGCTGGACTCTCACTTAGAGACAGGGTGAGAAGTCTAGGGAGAGACTCAGAGTAGAACCGCTGCTCCTCCACATCAAGAGGAGCCAGTTGAGGTGGTTCGGGCATGGTAAGGATGCTTCCTGGGTGCCTCCCTAGGGAGACGCTTCGGGCATGTCCGACTGGGAGGAGACCACGGGGAAGACCCAGGACACGCTGGAGAGATTACGTCTCTGTTGGCCTAACACTATGGTTTGCTCCCAGAAGAGCTGGAAGAGGTGGCTGTGGAAAGAAGAGATGTCTGGACTTTCCTGCTTAAGATGCTGCCCTGAGATCAGACTTTGGATGGATGGATGGATATACTTTTAAGCAATATAAAAACTAGAAAGCATAGTTTTCTCAAATGATGGGGTGGTCGGTTTACCATTATATGTCCATCTTGGATTTTGACATAGCAACCCAGTCTGCGATAGTGACCTTTCTTGTGCCTGGATGCAGTCACACACCAAAATGGAATTTGATACTTCATTTATTTTTCAAGTTATTATGGCCACAACATGTAAAGATGGACAGATGGACGATATGTCCAATTTCCCCTCTTCACTCCACGATGGGGCACAAAAACTCCAAGTTGCCTTAAAGACAGCCTGAGCTCAAACTGACCCATAATTTACTACTTATACAAAACCATAGGAACCCATAAATGACTGAACTAAAACAAATATCCACATTGCTATTTAAAGTTGTTTAAACTGTTAGATTAGGGTTAGATTGAGAGGATTTATTAATTTGTACAAAGTGTTTCTGTGTGTTTCAAGTGTTCCAATACTTACTCTGTCCATTTCACACATTTAGAGTTTCTCGTGCTGGAAAATGTCTCTTTAGGACATGAGCGGCAAACTGTGTCATGAGTCCGATTCCCTGAAACACAAGAAGTGTTAAAAACACTCAGAGCATTTACACTACAGCATAAATCAAAAGTAACTAATCAGTCTGCAGGAGTAAAATACGCCTTTTGTCAACAAGAGACGGCACACCTTCTAAAACAAGCTCGTCTCCGGGCTCACAGCTTCGGTCCAAGACGCAGGTGATACATTGTTGACTGGAGCAATGGAATCCCTGTTTGCACAAGCAGGTGGTTCTCTCTGTCTTGCTTTCAATGACTGCAACCTCAAAGTTTTTATCTGAAAGAAGAAGGTGCTCCATGTCAGAAGCACAACATTAAACTGTAACCAACATTGTGTGATCGTCACCGGGTCTTACTCGGGTCACAGTACGGCTGTCGTTTACACTTCACTTCTTTGTTGTAATTATCCTGATACTCGTTCAGCCCGCAGTCATCACACACCGGGTCAGTGCAGCTGCTGAGGACCGTCATTCTTTTTCCTGCAAAGCAAGTTGATCATTTTAGTGTTTTACATGTGGAGGCAGCTTCAGCCACGTGGTTGGATGGTCGTCTTCCAAGGGAGCGATCGGGGGTTTGATCCCCCGTCCTCTGGCCCTGAAGATGCTTTACACTCCTCTGTCTACAATATGCTCATAAGTGTACAAGTGAGATAATAGAAAGTTTTTCATATAAAGTACAAACATATAAGAACTATATGAATAAGTGTCTGAATGGAGGCAGAACAGTGGTGAAGTGGTTAGTGCTGTTGCATCACAGCAAGAAGATTGCAGGTTCACCAGCCAACCTGGGGCCTTTATGTGTTGAGTTTACATGCTCTTCCCGTGCACACAAGGGTTTTCTCTGAGTTCTGTGGTTTCCTCTCAAAGACCAAAAACCTGCATGCTAGGCTGATTGATAACTCTAAATTGTTCCTAGGTGAGAGTGAGTTTGTCTCATTTGTCTCTTTGTGTCCCTATGATGGACTGGAGACCTGTCCAGTGTGTCCCCCACCTCTCACACAGTGACTGCTGGAGACAGACAACAGCTCCCCGCAACACAACGAAGGAAAAAGTGGGTGAGAAACACACTGTAAAAAGCCTCCCACCACCTGGGTGAGGCTCCAAAACGTGCTTCAAGTAAAACATTTAGATTACGGTATACATGATTAAAATGGACAGTTTCTTTTTTTGTGCTGAAACGTTACGCATTCGATCCGGAAGGCTTCATCAGTCAAGGAAACACACAACAAAACTGATTATTCTCCCAACTGCTTACTCCAAAGTGGAACAAACCAGTTTTGTTTGTGATAAGATGGTCTCTTTTGTACGCCCCCTCCTCCATTGCCGGCCCTCTTCCTTGTTGACAGTCCTGTCAAACTGGTTGAAAACAACAAAGTCCATGCTCAAATGCTCAGATCCAGTCCATGCTCAGATGACCTGACTGAAAAATGTTGGATTGTATACCTGGATTATTGAGCATGGACTATGTTGATGATAAAAATGTGTTTCATATTGACATGTAAATAATTGTTTTTTTATGAATAATCTTTTTGCACAGGGCTGAAAAACAAGAATCAATAAAAACATGGAACATGTTAAAGCTAAAAGAATGACTAAAACACAAAGATTGCTCTCTAATCTGAGTTAAATGCCAGGGGCTGAAAAAATAATACATTTTGTTTAAAAATGTAATTACTGAGGTCTGTCCAACATGCAACTAGTTTTTCTAAATTTAGTCACCTCTTTGGTGTGCCAGCTTTGAACTCAGTATGGCTTTGGGTTGATTTGTAATTTTACAGTTTTGGTTACTACGTACCCCAAATAATGTGTATACAAACAGAAACTGCTTGTCATGAGTGCATACAAAACTTAATGTTTTTTAGTTATAAATGAAATATACACAATACAAAGAGATTTTTAAGTACAGTATTGCTACTTCGCGGTACGTTTTTCGAGGACTTGCGCCATCGTGGTTTTTCAAAATAAGATTGGACATGACACACAATTGGCTGACTGATTGATGAGCCGCACGATCGGCATGAAATTTTAATTTGAAATTAATTATTTTAAACTATTTAGCACCTGTTGCGCATTTGTGCAGCCCACACTGCAGGATAAACTTCCTGCTGCAGTTGAGCAGCTGTTCTCCGTGCAGAGCGGAGAAGTGGGCATGGCCAAGAGCGCTTGCAGGTGGCTGAGAGCAGAGGAGGCAGGGAGCTGAAATCATGACATTCTGTGCTCTTTTAGAGAGTTTAGAAACATTGTTTCCATCCATCCATCCATCATCCATCCATCCATCCATCCATCCATACATCCATCCATACATACATACATACATACTAAATTAAACTACTTCTTATTACTAGTACTACATTCCTACTTCGCTGTTTTTCACTTATCGTGGGGCTTCAGAGTACGGATGCCCCTTGATAAACGAGGGACTACTATATATCAATAAAGTTTGGTGTGTTAAACTGAAAACTTGCTTTATTTTTGTTCAAATTTTCTAATACTGATATTTTATTACTCTAGAATATGCAAAGACACTTTTAGAAAAAGTTTCATTGGAATTACATACATGGAATTTGGGGGTGATTTGGAAGAAAAAATGACTTCATAGAGTCTTACACTATACTGGAAGTGCATTATAGTGCTGATCATATTTATTTGAGTTTATTATTTGTTACCATGTCCTACATTTGAATAAATACTTTGTCAGTACTTTAGAGGAAGTTCAACACAGAAGTATCAACAAAAACTAAGCAAAATACTTTCTTTTAGTTTTTAGAGATTCTGCACTAATTAATTTGTCTTAAGTGTGATTATGTTCTGTTACTTGAAGATTATTTTGACTGAACTAATTGTCTGAAAAAAGGGGCAGATATAATAAGATTTTTTCTTCTTTCTGCTGCCTTTCATTTTAAATCTCTTGTATTTTTTTATATAGTTTATGGAATTGTTTTGTTTTTTAAAATGAATAAACTTTATACCATATACCATATTATGGATACATCTAGATGTATTTTATACATCTATGTCTATATACATATATGCTGTTTTATTACAGTATCACAACCCTCCGGATCGTAGTCAAATCAAATTTTAGGTGCTGCTTTCACAGTCTTTTAGGGCAAACACAAAACATTAAATTAGTCCTTAAGACAATATGAGCACAGAAGATACATATGCTCCTGCAGGTTTGAGTTAAATCAGATCCTGTAGTGTTCTGCACCAGCTGGGTGAGGGGCGTCTCACTGACAGAAGGGTGGTGAAAGGAAAAGTGATGCATCTAGTTACAGACAAAAGGACAAAAATAAGTGAAAAGAAAGCTAAGTTAGGGGTGATATTACTTATTATAGGGGTGTTATTACTATTATTAATGTCCTGCCTGTTTGGAACCTCCAGCTGCAGTAGATATAAGTGACGCCTCGGAGCCCACAGTGTTTTCATCTCACCTGGTCTGCACAGCTTGCAGCACTGCCCATCCTTAGCATACTCTGTGGCAGGATCACAGCTGAGATCAGGAGCGGGCTGAGCAGAACTCAAAACCTGGGAAACAAAAAAGACCCACATGTTTACAGTGTTGCTACATATACAACAATTATCACCCCTGCACACACACACACACACACACACACACACACACACACACACACACA